AATTGCTGACTTTCTCATTTTTGACCATACATTAGGGTTCCTTCCCCACTCTGAACTTTGGGGTACAGATGTGGGGACCCACATGAAAGACCCTCTAAGCTTATTTTACCAGCTTAGGTTAAAAACTTTCCCAAGGCACAAATTCCACCTTGCCTTGAACAGTATGCTGCCACCAAGTGATTTAGACAAAGAATCAGGGGAAAGGACCACTTGGAGTCCTATTCCCCCAAGCCCTGCACCCCCCTTTCCTGGGGAAGGCTTGAGAATAATATCCTCACCACTTGGTACAGGTGAACACAGACCCAAACCCTTGGATTTTAGGAACAATGAAAAATCAATTGGGTTCTTAAAAGAAGAATTTTAATTAAAGAAAAGGTAAAAGAATCACCTCGGTAAAATCAGGATGGTAAGTACTTTACAGAATAACAAAAGACTCAAACACACAGAAAATTTCCCCTCTAGGCAAAACTTCAAAGTTACAAAAACAGGGATAAACCTCCCTCTTAGCACAGGGAAAAATTACAAGCTAAAACAAAAGGTAATCTAACGCATTTTTTGCTATTACTTACTATTTTTGCAAGACTAGATGCTTAGTTTAGATATGGCTTAGGGAGATGTATTTTCCCTGCCCTGTTTCCTTGTTGACTCCAGGAGACACAGACAAAAAACCTTCCCCCACAGATTTGAAAGTATCTTTTCCCCTTATTGGTCCTTTTGGTCAGGTGCCACCCAGGTTATCTGAGCTTCTTAACCCTTTACAGGTAAAAGAGGAATTAACCCTTTACAGGGTAAAGAGGGATTTTATGCTACCCTTAGCTGTATGTTTATGACACCATATAATTATAAAATAAATCAATTGGAATATAAATACTGTCGTGTATTCAGCATTGCCTGCTTGGTTGGTGTGGTTGCACAGGTGACCCATACAGTTCAGTGTATAGTATATAGAGCAGTATAAACAAGTCATTGTCTGACATTTTAGTTTGTACTGACTTCACTAGTGCTTTTTATGTAGCCTGTGGTAAAACTAGGCAAATATCTAGATGAGTTGATGTACCCCCTGGAAGAGCTCTGGGTACACGTTCACCCGGTTGAGAACCACTGCCCTAACTTGTGCTGCTTGTTTCCTAGATGCTAATGGTGGGTGCCGATGGGGTGGAAGGCATTTCTCTGACTCAGAGCCCGGCGGAGCTCAAGGAATCACTGTGGTTTGTGGAGTCGGAAGACCTTCTTGCAACAGGGGTGGAAGAAGTAAGTAGGAGATTCACTGGATTTAAGACTGTTCTCTCACTCCCTTGTCTCTTGCCTCACTTCTAAGGATCATTCCCAGGCACACCCCTGTAGCAGCCCCACAAAATGTCCTATACCACACGCTGTACGATGCTGCCATCATTGCAACATGTGTTAACTGGTTCTAAGACTCATGGACCTTAAAGTCTATGTATCTTTTAGAACCTTTCTTCTGAAGAGCAGTAACACCTTTCTGAGGGAAAACTCCCAATGACTTCACTTTCACTGATTTCAATAAAAGCTTTGCCTGGATAGAGTGTAAAGACTTCAATACTCATCCCTTCACTAAGTAATTGGTTAATAATAACAATTCTGGCAGTGGTTTGCCTTAGCACACAGCCCAGGAACAAAATCAGGCGTGTTGGGAGTAAGCCGAACTGAGTCCCTGTGTCTTGCATTGGGCTCTGCTGACTCTTACTTTGTCTGAAGGCCCTTCAAGGGCTGGGAATTCCAGTGAAGAGGAACCTCACCTGAGAGGACCTCCTGCCACCCAAGACCGCACTAATGCTGCCTTCGTGACCATGGAGACTACGTATCCCCTATGCCCCTTCAGTTTAGATCAGGGGGGTTGTAAGCCGGAGATTAGAAACATTCCATTTGTGCCTGCCTCCACTGGAGGAGCCAGTATCATCTGTGCCTTGCTCCAAACAACTGCTGTGCAGAGGAGAATGCCAGGGCATTTGACAGGATGAAGCTCTTTTGAAGTTGCTATCCATTGATTTCTGCACTTTGAAATGTTTAACTGTGTCATGTCTGCCTTGCTCCGCCCTCTCCCCCCCCCATCCTCCCTCCACCAGGTGTTTGACATCTTGCCCCTCTATGGAATGCTGCAACCCAGCGAGAGTCAGCAGGTCTCGTTCACCTTTTATGGCCACGCCGACATCACTGCCCGGGCCAAGGCGCTGTGCAAAGTCGAGGGAGGCCCTACCTATGAGATCATGCTGAGCGGAGAGGCTTCACTCATCAGCTACGCCTTTGACATAAAGGAGATTGACTATGGGCTGCAGGTAAAACACAGGAGAGGCCTGAGTTTCAGAGCCACCAATTTCCATTCAACTGGCCGGATGTGCCATCATCCCGTGCTGTCATATGTTCCCTTCTGACAGGGTGCCCCTGTCTCTGGATACCGTTATACGGCCCCTCACAGCCCCTCTCTCGCTGTCAGCAGAACCTCCTCTGTATGATATACACCTGTATCCAGGGCCGGATTAATTTTTTGTGGGCCCGGTGCCAAACATATTTGTGGGCCCCCCGGGGAATGAAGAGGACAGGGGCAAGAGCACAGCGGGCAGGGTGGATGTGATTTAAATCATGATTTAAATCACTAGTTAGGAAGACTCGATTTAATCATGGGTTTCTACATAAAAGTCCGTTCTTGGTTGTTATAACCTTAAAACATATTCTTCACAAATCAGAGATAGATTTAGGTTTCATTTTTAGAAGGTACACACTATACATTTTTAAACCGTGATTTATTTTGAAAACTTTTCCAATGAGTTCTATAGCTATATCAGAAAATGAATGATTGTTTGGTTATTTCATTTACCAAAGATAATTGAAGCAGATATTTATGAAGTCATTGGGAGGTGAACTATCTCCAGTTCAACAGGTTAATCATTAATATTTGGAGGATTTTCTTGCCATGCTGGATTAGGCGGAGAACATCACCAGACAGACATTTAAATTGTTTTATTTAACTAAAACAACAATGTTAAGTATACTGGACTTTTTCCCTTCAACAGCAAACATAATATTTTAACAACAAAAAAATGTCCCTCACTTCTCACATTTATCTCCAGACTTTTCCTTGTCCAGATCTATTCTGCCCCCAACAATCTTTTATTCATTGAACTTTTTGAAACTTTTCACTTTTAAAGAGAGGTAAAGGGTTGACCCTGTGTACACAAATTTGCAGAGGGACAGTAGAGTTGAGGTCTGTTATGTCTCACCTCTATACATTATTTATTTATTTATTTATTTATTAAAAACATTTTTGCTGTTAACAAGCATGTTACCTCTGGAGACACAAATCCACAGTTTGAGAACTGCAAAACTAGGCATCTCTGATGGTATCTTTTAGACTGAGCACTGAGTCCCATTGGGTAGATAGAAAAATTAACCTGTGTCCCCCTTCCCATCTCTGATGCCACAGAGCCTTGCCTGTGTCCTCATTTCCTATTCCCTTCCCATTCCCTATTTCCTATTCTCATTTCCCATTCCCCCCTCCTCCTCCTTAGCAGGCCCAAATATAGCTGCAATGCACGCCCACAGTCCCATCCCTTACAACTTAGGGTCATGTTCCATTTTGGGTCTGGGATCTTCGTCTCACCTCTTTTGTATCCCATGGGAGGGGTAAGGAGTGAGGTTGTGCTGCTGTCAAGGACAGGCATTTCTTTGGCCTTTTAGTGTTTTATTTCTTTATTATTATTTAGCATTTATTTAGTGTTTCTCCCCTTGTGAGTGCTGGTGATGCAATAGCTCTTTACCGCTCTCCCCCTTATAGCAGTGGGGGATGAGTAAAGGTGGGGGTGCAGTGTTAAGGCCCCCCCCGACCCTCAGTGCCTGCACACTTCAGGGGACAGCAGCTGCTGGAAGGGGCATTTCCCAAACTAGTGTTAAGCCGCCCGATGCTCCCAGGACTTGGAGGGACAGGTGGCTGCTACTCTAGCCCAGGCTGGATCTGGGAGGAAGGACACAGGTGCTGCTGTGCAAGGTCCCTCGCCCCCATTAGGAGTTGGAGCGTGGACGGGGCACCAGGGGCAAGGAGTGAGGAAGTGGGAGGAGGGAGCTGAGGGGAGGAGGGGGCCCCGGGCCAGGCAGGGGGCGCAGCGGGAGGAGGACAGGGAGGAAGATCTGGGAGGCAGCCTGTAAAAACATCGCTTCCTTCCCGAGAAGCAGACTCACCCTGCCCAGTGTCCAGGCTGCATGGCTGCTGCTCCCTCCCCCCACAAACAGCTGATCCGGAGCAGGGTGAGAGAGTGGGCTGGTTTACACTGGGGGGGGGGATCGATCCAAGATACGCAACTTCAGCTACGTAAATAGCGTAGCTGAAGTCGAAGTACCTTGGATCGAATTACCTGGGGTCCAAAATTACTGCAGGTTCCAAAAATACTTGGGCAAAGGAGCATTTTCCTGTATACATCCTCCAGGTTCATCCAAGCAGTGTTGGGCAGAGTCCAGTGTTCTGGATGCTTTCCCTGAGGGTGAATGATACATTCATTCGTTATTAAAATAATCCTGTCAACTAACCTCACCTACGTTGGATTATGCTATCACTGGAATGGGACAAATCTGCCCCGATCTATCTCCTTTGACCTCAGGGGAGTTACCCCGGGGATCGGTTTGATCCAGGGAGTCCGAAATACAGCACTATCTTCCAAAATAAATTGTTTGAAGTGTTGTAGCCGTGTTGGTCTCAGGTTATGAGAGAGATAAAGGTGGGTGAATCAATCTTTTATTGGATTAACTGCTGGTGGTGGACGGGACAAGCTTTCGACAGCAGTTGGTCCAATAACAGATATCATCTCCCCTATCTTTGCTTTCCCAGAAGAGGCACATTTGGAAAATGGCAGCAAGGAACAGGAGATGTTCGTGCTTTGCGGAGCTGAGGGGGATCTCCCAGGTATCTCTGTGCTCATTCACAGCTTCTCCTGCTTACCAGATAGGAGTTGCCAGGCTGGATTAGACCCAGGGCCACCCAGGCCAGTGTCCTGTCTCTGACATTGGCTCAGAGGCCTCGGAGGAAGGCGCAGGACCCTGAAGCAGGTAGTTATGGGACAAACATCCCCCAGGAAATACCCCCGTCAATTAGAGGCTGATTTACGCCCTGAAGCCAGGGGGATTTACATCCCCTCCAAAACTCCTCCTTGGTTCCTGATTGCTTAAATCCTTTCTCTCGTAAATCTGCATGTTCTTACAGAATATCCAGTCCTGCTGGATTCCTGCCGAGCTCGTGACCACAGCGCCACGTTTGGAAGACTGTTTCCTGTCTCTTGCTTTCCTTGAATGTCCCCTTGTCTGCGTGTTATGAGTATGTGGGAAGCGAATCTGAAAAGAAGCCTTGGTATTGACTCTCCTGTTCCGCTCGTTTCCCCTCAGCTATTTGACCAAGTCATTGAAGCTGAAATCACGCTGTGCAATAGCGGGAAGGTTGGATTTGGGTACATGGTACTGAACACGAGCCAGGCCTCCGCCGACAACCCTCCGCCAGGAGTGCCACTGATCCTGCCTGCCACGGTGAGTATTGTGACAGATGGATGGAGCCCTGAGGGGCTAGAGTTAAAATCCTGGCACTGCCCGCCAGAGGCCCCACCAGTGCTGGCGACTGGGCTGATCACCATTCCTAAGGGAAGCCCCCTCCTTGGCACAGCAAGGGCGATTGTCTAGCTGTGTTGCCAGAGGATGAGGATGTAAATCCAGCAGGGGAAATGATGGAAGGTTATAGCTGCTGGGAGCTAGTGAAGGTCAAATGGACGTGCTCCTTAATAGACTCTGAGCGGCAGGAGGCTCCCTCATCAAACGACCAGCGGCAGGCAGCTCAAGTGCTTTGGCCACGCTTTGAGCCCTGGCGGCTGGGAGCTTTGGGTTTGTGCTGACGATGGAACTGGATTGCACAGATTCTTTTTTCTTCCCAGCAGAACCTGGGTCACATTGCCCAGCCCAGCCCAGCCAATCTCAGAGCCTGGTCTGTAACCCAGTAAGATATACTCCTTCCCCACCTGCCCAATCACAGACGCCAGCTTATCCACCCACTCCTTCAGCACGAACGTGCTGGCGTGTCTCTTTCAAGTGCTCAGGAGTATACTTGTACTGGCACATTTCGTTTAAGAACAGTCCTTGCTGTTTTTATGGGCTCAGAGAAGATCTCAGGAGTGAGGAAAGCCCAGTGTGTGTCTGTTGCTCAGTTTCTCTTTCTCTCACACTCCTGCTTTCTCCCCAGACCTCTGAGTCAACTCCACTCGACACAAACCTGCGTGCCTCTGCACTGGCTTGTGTTCTCTGCTTTGATGGGCTTTGCATGCAGCTTGTGTTTATTCTCCTTAGCGCAAAGTACTGCCTGAGGTCCTGATGGTCCTTGTGCTGCTGGATGGGCTGGGCTGGGGCTGGAAGGCTCCCATAACTCTGCAGTCTCTGGGCTCTGGGCAGCAGGATGTTAGGGGGTGTTGCCCACAGAACTAGCTTAGCCTTTTCTTTTCCTTAGCAGTAACTAGACTAGACTAGACCCCTGTTCCTCCAGCTCATTACATTAGTATCTGTTGGCAACCAATACAACTATTAACCATTAAAGAATAAGGCTAGAGGGGGGCCAAGAGGAGTTGGAGCCAATCCCTCTCTGCTGTTCACCTGCCCACAACGCGGGACCGATGCAGCGGGGGAACCAGTCCATGCCATTAAGCAGATTGCTCAGCCCCAAATGGAAGGAGAAGCCCCATCTCACTGCCTCGGTATAGGTCTGGGAAAGCCACAGCCTGCCCCTCATGCTGCAGTGATGTCCCCTCGGCAGTGTGACTAATATACCTGTTACATCCTTGGGAGTAGCAGTTTGAGGAAGACATCACAGAGAGCTGTAAACCTTACAACCAGCCATTTATTGCCACAACAGTGCTTATTGCTCCTTTCAAGTCTCCTCTTTCCCAAGGAGAGGAAGCCAAATGGCTCTAATATTGCCCCATAACTTTCACGAAGCCTGGTATCCTCGCATAGATGAGTCTCTGATGCCCTCTGCTGCAGCCTCTCTGAGACTGTGATCTCCTGCCTGAGGTACAGCAAGCAGGACTGCCCGGGATTCTGGATGGGGGCTAAGTGCTTTGTAACAGCTGCTGCCCCTCTGCTAACACAGCCGAGGACCTGGTCTGGCTGGCTTTTTACTACGTGCTGCGCTTGTGTTCCCCAGGGGTTTCCACTGCACTGTGCCCAGTGAGCATGCTGGCTGATGGCTCTGTTGAACAAAGATACCTTTGTCTGACAGACCCTGCCTGAGTGGGGCTCCAGGTCTGGGGCTACCAGAGCCAGGGAATAGCCACTCTGCATGGAAGGCTGCCAATCAGTCCTGCGGAGCATCAGCCGAGAGAACCTGCAGAAGTTTCCTGCTGCTCAGAGCAGCATTGCCCCCTGCTATATACGCTTCCCTGCCCCCTGACCAGGGTTATCCGTGCACGGGGAGCCAAAGAGAGCTGGCGGTTGGTGCTGGGGGCTAGGCAGGGAGGAGCACAGCAGCAAAAAGAGGATCCCCCACATTGGGGAGATCTCCTGGTTTTCTCATAGATGTTGGCCGTAGGTGAGTTCTAAAGGCTACAGCACCTACCAGCCCTGCGGCTGGACAGCTCACCTTCAGAGCCACCTCTGGAAGCCAGTGCCTTCTCTTACCTGCTGTTCTGCAGGACTCTCCGAGGTGCTGCCTTGTCAGCGCTAACCACACGATGTCCACTGGCTACTGCCGACCTGTTATGACCGTGACACGTCGGAGCGAGTTAATGTGCTAGAGTGCACACTGGCTCTGCTCAATCGCACTGCTCTGCTGGGTGACCCCCCCCACATCCCCAACAGAGGGACTGGAATTCGCGAGAGAAGAGCCATGGACTTGCCTGTGTTTTGCTATCCCGGCTGATAGAGCCGTCTCCTTTCCAGTCCAGCTTCGTGATCCTGCAGCACAGGGGCCTCTGCAGTTAGAATTACATATATGCCTAGGGTGTTTGCATCCAATATGGCCCTCCGGTTGTGTGTGCTCCAGGGATGGGATCTGTACAAAACACAGTTAGCTTTTCATTTCCATTTGCTCCTCCCTTTTCCCCACTGGCTCCTGTATTTTGCTGGTAAGAAAATTCCCTTGGTCTCTGAAGTGGACTCTCTTGTATTCCTCCCTTCGCCATCCTTTAGTTTAAGTAAATGTCCATGTAACTTCTAGACACCAGCTGCTGATCTGTCCTTTGGGTTCAGATTTTTAAAGGTACTCTGGGGTTGCTGCGCTCAACGTTGCAATGCCTCACTGATGTAGGAGCCTTAGTCTCATTTTCAAAAGCGATTTATCCATGTAGGGGTTAAAGCCCATCAACCGTCAATGGGGTTTTGGCTCCTAAGTGCCTAAATTCCTTTTGAAAATGAAATTTAGGCTCCTAATAGAGTTAGCTGTTGCAACACTGAATGCAGCAACACCTGTATACCTTCACAAATCTAAGCCTTAGCCCATTTCTCCAATAATGCTACTTCCTGGCCCCAAACTACCCTTAGCCATCTAAAAAGTATGCATCTCTCGGGGCTGCAGTGTGTTATAGAGATGGGGCACTGGCTGGGGATTCAGGAGTTCTGGGGTCTGCTCTTGGCTCTGCCACTGACCTGCTGTGTGACCTTGGCTAGTCACGTCCCCTCTCTGTGCTTCAGTTTCCCCTTCCACACATTGTCCGCCTTGTCTATTTGGACTATAAGCTCTCCGGGGAAGGGACTGTCTCTCATTCTGTGTATATAGCACCTGCTCCATGGGGCTGTGATCTCAATTGCTTGTATTACTGTTGGCCCTACTGTAATACAAATAATAACAAAGCACACCGTGCAGCGCACTGGAGAGATACCAGCATCCCTTCAGGCACTTAACACTTTCCTAAGCACTTCCGCCTCTCTCTCAGCATATCCCAGCACATTTCTCTAGAGTTGCCCCGTTTGTGCTCCCTAAGTCCATTGAATGTCCTACCCCAGAGCCGACGTGTCCAGTGATGAGCTGCCAAAATATTAACAGGTTTCAGAGTAGCAGCCGTGTTAGTCTGTATCCGCAAAAAGAACAGGAGTACTTGTGGCACCTTAGAGACTAACACATTTATTAGAGCATAAGCTTTCGTGGACTACAGCCCACTTCTTCGGATGCAAAATATTAACAGGTTCCCTCCTCACCCCACGAGGGGGTTGTGCCCCTCCCACTCCTGCGCCATCCAACCCCCCCATGTTCCTTGAGGGGCCCCCCCGGGACCCCTGCCCCATCCATCCCCGTTCCCTGTCCCCTGACTACCCCCTGCCGCCCCATCCAACCCCTCCTCACATTCCTGATGGCCCCCCGGGACCCCTGCCCCATCCAACCACCCCGTCTGTCTGTCCCCGACTGCCCCCCACCGCCCCATCCAACCCCTGCTCCTTCCTGACTGCCCTCGTTCAATCCCCCTTTCCCTGCGCTCTGACCGCCCCGACCCCTATCCACCCCCCCACAAACCCCCGAACTCCCTTGCCCTCTTCCAACACCCCGTCCCTGCTCCCTGCACCTTTACTGCACTGCCTGGAGCCGCTCAGCCGGATCCGGGTCTGGCTCCTCTCGGCTAGGGCCGGGGCCAGGGCCGGGGCCGGGACCAGGATCAGCGCCGCGGGGCCTGAGCCGGGCCGGAGCTGCTCGACCGGGACCGGCGCTGCGGGGCCCGACATCCCCGAGCCGGGCCGGGCCGGAGCTGCTCGGCTGGGACCGGGGCCGGCGCTGCGGGGCCTGAGCCGTGCCGTGCTGGAGCCGTTCGACCGGGACCAGTGCCGGTGCCGCGTGGCC